CCCCCCCCCCCCCCCCCCCCGTGTCTAAACACGAAGCCAACAGCCGTGCGCACATAACATAGTGTGTACACACACACACACACGCATATATATATATATATATGCATGTATACATATGTTTTGGTTGTGTGTAGTCCTTTATTTGTATATGCATGTGTATAAGTACTCCTTCTGAGGGGCTTCGGTCCGACCGTGTTCTGCACGCTCTTCGTTGCCTACTCGTTGGGGTACGGCGCCGTCGTCAGTGTTATGCCGATGCTGACAAGGAGAGCTTGGCGCTAGGGCGCTGCAGGATACTCAGAATCTGTCACTCCCTGTTTAGGTCGTTATCTCAGAGCTGCGTGGAGGGCTGACGAACAGTTTATCATAGATAAGCCTCAGCGCTTTCTAACATCATGTGTCGAACCTCGAAAACGCAGGTAGCCTAGCACGGCTACGCCGCTATGCTAGCAGCCTTAAGCCTGTCTCCGATGCCATCAAATCCACTGGGCCATGGATTTCTTGCAAGGAATCCCGGGCTTCAGCAACTCCCAAGCCCCGGAACTTCCGACGTGTAAGTAGAACACTGGCGTGAGATAAGTTTCCTGCTCCTTTAGGGATCTAGGGGATTGAGGTTCGTGGGCTGCATGCATGCATCGGGGATGAGAGAAGCTTGCAGTTTGAGGGTGGGACTGCGGGAAGCTTGAATGGACATTCTGAGCTCAGAGGAAGACTTCCTAAATGCCTTTGAACCTCCCCACGCACCACTCAAACTACCCAGCCTGAAAGCCAATCTCGCAACAAAACCCTACGAACGAACCCGTAAACTCGAATTGCTAGAAGAAAGCTGCGTCCTAGAGCATAGGTGGGAGGCACAAAATACATTTTGATTCAAGCCTAAACCCGCACTAAACACCCACAACAGCCTTAAACCGGTACAAACCCTGAACCTCCTTAAACCCTAAACTCTAAACCCTAAACCCTAAACCTCCATAAGCCGGTCAGGAGGTCGGCACCCGAAGGCGCTCTCTGCTCCGGCCTTATGCAGGCGAACTGGGGTAGCTGTTAGTGGGTGCCCAGAGAACCCAAGACCCCTGAATTCAGGAATATACCTTAAATCATAATATTAGGGCCCCTATAATTTAAGGTAGATTCCTTAATTAAGGGGTATTGGGTTCTCTGGGCAGGTTTCTCCAAGGCTGCGGATCATGGAGATTCTGCTGATGCTCTTGCTGATCATGTAGACTTTCGGTTAAGGGTCTGGGATCTCCAAGGGGACCGTGATGTAAGCGAGTACGGAAAATACAGAAGTACACTGAGATGCCCATAGGCTTTAAAGAGGCCATGTTGTTCAAACGGACATGCCGAACGAAATGTCCACTACAAGCCGTGCTTCCATACAAAGACCAGGGAGTCGATCCGTCCCATCGAGCCTTGCCCCCCCCGTGCCTTGAGCCCCAAAGCAGGGCACCCTGGTGCCCTGAAAGTATGTAAGGAGACGTGGGTAGATCATTCACTCCGACGTCAAGAAGCCCTCTCAACCCTTGGACCACATAAATCCGACCCCTAAAATGGCCCTAAACCTCAATCAAGCTATTATCTTCTCATGAGTCGACACGATTCCCTCCATGGCTATTCGTAGTTCTACCACTACAGTTACACCAACTCTATAAACCTCTAACTGTAGGTTAGTCCGGGCGGGTGGGGTCACCCGAAGGCCTTCGTCGCCAGCCTCTCCGCAGGAGCCATCCTCGGAATTGCCGCGGCACCTGGCTGGCAGTATCTGGGTTTCGGATGTTGTGGGCTTAGGCTCAGGGCCTAGGCCCTGGCTGAAGGTTTGGGGACTGTAGGATTTTTATGGTGCCGGTGACATCTCCGAAGCTCTGCGGGACTGCCCTGACACACTCATCGTAGTGCAACCTTGTCTAGACGCGACGACACGTACAAGATCCCCTTAGCCTTAGCCCCCAAGCCCCGCACACGAAGCCTCGATGGCCCGCCCCGCACAAGGCTGCTGCTGCCGCCGCTTCACATTCCGCGGCTCTCGGACCCATGGCAGCGCCTCCCGGCAGGGGTTTCTGGGAACAGGAGGCGACAAGTATTGTGGCCCTCTAGATTCTAGATTCCTATATGAGGTCGGGAAGGATTTTTGTTGTGAACAGTCCAGGATTTAGAGTCACCCTGGCACTCAACATGGAGTCCTCCAGACATCTCAGTCGCCTGACCACTGTTTCCAAGTAAGGAGGCCGTAGTTAGAGTACCTAGGCTAGCACTGCAAGCTAGTTTGTTATTATGCCTGAGGCAATAGTTGAGTTGTCAGCTATACAAACTCGAGTTTCGGCTGCTACATGCTGTTGACGAAGCCCTAAGCCGCAAAAGCTGCCTTTTTCCTAGCATTATAAGTACCCCGGGCTGGCCCTGAACCCTGAAAATCCAAAAACCCGCACAAACTCTAAAGGCCCTAAGCAACAAACGGCCGTACAAAAAAAGCAGCAGGGATCCTGAACCCGAAGCCCTAAACCCTAAGCCCGAGTGTGCGAACCGAAACCCTAAGCCAACCCCCCTAATTCCTAAACCCTAAAAACCCTAAACCTCGCCCGGCTTGTCCCAGTTGTGAGTGCTGAAAACCCTTTAAACCCTAAACCCATGCCTGGACAACAGCCGCTATATTTGTAAGTGTTGAGGCTGTAGGGGGCCCATTGCATTTGTGTGTGCGGTGTTCAAAGGTCCCTGCGCTTAACTATACCATATTACTATCACCTAGTTTGGTTCTATATGCCTGGGCCCGTAGTAGGAGAGTCAGGCCGCTGGATCCCTCCTTTGTGCTGTGTTCAAGCTAGCCCATTGACTGCTCTGGGGCACAGGGGATAAGCCTTTAGTTGGCTAGTCTGAGTGGAAGAGTTGTTTCTTGATGACTCGTGAACTATGGCAGTATATGGCAGCAAGTTCCACCGCGGCTTCTGGCCTCCTTGTTGTACTGCCATTCGTAGCTGGGTCCCGAATGGCTCCCATGTTCTTTTTCGGACATCAGGCCTCGGTGAGTAGTCCGTAGCTCGAGAAGACCCGATTCCCTCATTGTCACAGAAAAAATTTGGTCCTTTGCAGCGGGTGCTTGGTGAGAGTGTGCGAGTCGAAATTCCTAAACCCCTAAACCCTAGGCAAGTCCGAGAGTGAGTGCTGAAACCCCTAAACCCTGAATGTCTGTACTGCCGCCACAAACCTCGCCTGACCTCGTCGAGCGCGAGTGCTAAAAAAAGCCTTAGCCCTGCAACCCTAGATGACACGCACACATCGAGAAGTGCACCGAGTCGAAACCCAAGGGGGAATCCCAAACCCTAACCCCTTAAACCCTAAACCCTAAACCCTAAACCCTAAACCCTAAAACCCTAAACCCCTAAACCCCTAAACCCGAAACCCTAAACCCCCAAACCCCTAAACCCTTAACCCCCTGAGGTTTCTGTCCTTGATCCTTGGAATGGCGACCTTCCCTCCACTGGGAGGCCTTTATGGTGTAGGGGTTCATGGCTGAAAGGGTAGAGGGCCTTAATAATGAGAACAGGGGTTCGGGTAGATAATAGAGTATTCTTTATAGTTATGTTAAGGAGCCGTAGGGAACACTATTGGTCACTATTCCCACCTCTATACTAAGGTTTTGGGGTTTTGGGTGCGCGCTTAGAGGTTTCGAGGTGTAGGGTTCAGCGGCTTGGGGCGGAGGGTTTAAGGGTTTTGGTTTCGGGCGAGGTGGGGTCCAAGCCTTGAGCCGTACTGTCAGAAGCCTTCTTGCTCCCTGTGTGCATCGGGTTCAGGTCGTCAGGCTAGGATGCTTTGGGGTTTTCCTTGAGTTCTTTGGTATGAGGACCGGAGCGCTTCAATACTAGCTACATTGCGAGCCCGTCTACGGTCCATGTTGGGCTCTGTATTCAGATCTGAAAAATTCTGGCCGGAATCCTTCGAATCCTCCTGCAGAACATCGGAATTTTGCTTCCTGCCGCAGGCCTTCCGCTCAAGGTCGCCAGGCCGGTGTTAGTGGCGGTTCGAGTTCGCAATCCACGGCTTCTGGGCTCTGGGGATTGAGTCTGGCTGCTTACACCTCGCTCCTAGGGTGCATGATTCGATCGGTTGTCGGTTGAGTTAGACCTCAGCGAAGCTACTGGGGTGGAGATTGGAGGAATCCCGCTCAACTGGGCTTCGAACACTGGAACTCGCAAGAATCATGGTGGGTTTTGCTTGCCTTTCACTTTTGTTTTTTGGAGAGCGACGTGTGCGTCTCACTCCGATCAGGAGCATGCAGAATGCAGAAGGCTGCAATGCAGAGCTTTCTCCATGAAAAGTGCATGCGAGCATATGGTGTAGCCTGGGATTCTGTGGGCCCACCTTACGCGAAGATCCCAGGGCGCCACGCACGACCCCAGAGTAAGCTCTTGAACTCCCTAAGCCCTACCCATAGGCCCCATAGTAGTTCCTTTAGGGGGTTCCTATTTAGAATCCTATAAGGTAACCCCAAAAAGGAACCACTATGGAGCCTATAGGTAAACCCTACACCCTTAAACGGGGCTAAACCCTAAACCCTAAATCCTAAACCCTAAACCCTAAACCCTAAACCCTACAGGGAAAAACGGGGCTCTGAGCCCTTGAGCAGGTGTATCCTGAAGGCAGGTCTACACCTGGGCCCGGAAGAGCTTCTGTGCCTTGAGCTGCAAAAAAGAGCCGGTAGGGTTTTAGGGTTTTAGGGTTTAGGAGAACTTTAAACTTTTTGGCCTTATATCTTAGGTCAGTAGTTAAGCAGTTGAAGGCTTTTAGGGCCTATAACTACCTATAGTCTCCATTGTAGTTCCTTTTTTTGGTTTAACCAAATATAAAATAAGGATTTTGGAAGGTATCCCCAAAAGGAACTACAATGGAGACTACAGGTGCTTTACGGTCGTAGCACCTTGCTTTCCCTGCGCCAATGAGGGTGCTCTTCTGGAGGGCTGCCGCGCGGAAGTACTACTTGGCGGATCATGGGACTTAGTCAATAAGGTTATAAGGCCCTTGATTGGGGTTATAAGCCTAATCCCTAAACGCTACTTACTAAGTCCCATGGTCCTTTTAAGTAGGGAATGCTGAAGTGGCAAACTCCACCAACAGACGAGCCAATTTTCCTCAGAAGGCTGCTCCGCAGGAACATGTCCCCCTTGGTCCATGTCAGAAATACGCAGTCTCCTACCCTCAGGCTTTGATGGCTTTTTAGTATCTTGTGTAAACCCTAAACCCTAAACCCTAAACCCCTGAAGCCCCAAAAACTGTAAGAAACAACCATCTGACGACGCATCTGACGAAGGGAGGCTCGAGCTCGGGTTGAACTGGGTCAGCTCAGGGCTCAAGGGTCTCGAAGATCCATCTCTGCAGAGTCAAGTAGCATACTCTCATTGTTGCAGGGTTTAGGGGTTTAGGGAGTTTAGAGCTTTGCGGGTTTAGGGGGTTTAGGGAGTTTAGAGCTTTACGGGTTTAGGGAGTTAGGGAGTTTAGAGCTTTAGGGGTTTAGAGTTTAGCGTTTCTACACAAAGGGCGCCGCGCGTGGAGGCGTTTTCCTCTTGTTTGCCGCCAGGGCCTGGGAGCAGAAGCAGCCGGCAAACTGCCTTCTGAGCTTCTCAGCTGCAAGCGAGGAAGACCGAGGCGTAATATAACCCCGAACCAACAGGGGCCGAAATACACACCAATACCGTTGTTTTCTTTATTTGTTTTTTGTTTTTTGGGAGGGGGGGGGGGGTGGGGGGGGTCCTTATCGTAGTCGTACTAAAGTATACACCAAAACCCAATGCTGTTCTATCTATCAAGGCCCCAATATATTGATGCAGTCTCAAGACACCCGGGGCCCGAACATGCCGGAAGTCACCTTTTTTGTCTTGTGAATTGGCTGCGCAGACCTGATCTAGGTTGTTGCAGGGTTAAGACACGTCGGTTTAGGTTGCTCTGTACTGGAGTGAAACCTCGCCCTCCGCCAAGATAAACCACAAGCTGCTATAGGGGCCTGAATAATTACCAATACTATGTTGGGAGTATCTCATGACATTTGCAGTATAATATACCCCAAAACCTTATTCTAATTATCAAGGGTACGTAGTTATAAATGGGGTTATATGTAGGGTAACTGTACTTCTAAGCCAAAAAAAAGAGGACTTACAACCCCACTTATAACTGCCCCTAAACCCTAAACCCTATAGAACCCTTTAAAGGAACCTCATAACACCACTTCTAACTACCCATGAGCCTCCAAGTATGGGTTCGAAGTTCATGTTGGCGAAATCAGACCCTTTCGAGGCTCACCCGCTCCGTCGAAGGCCATGGGCTTCGCGTGTTGGCTGGTGCAGTTGATTGGTTGTTTGTGAGAAGATCTCCCTCTATCTCTCTCTCTCTCTCTCTGTAGGTGTATATATTTCTATATACATATATATATATATATGCAACAATGTGTATATATGCACTCATATATCTATCTGTCTATGTAAATATATCTATATACATATCATATATATATATGTATGTATGTATGTATGTATGTATGTATGTATGTATGTATGTATGTATGTATGTATGTATACATATATATATATATATATATATTCGTAACAGTAGGTATATAAACACAGATGTTACGTCTTCCTCCAGGCGGAGGTTGTTCTAGAACTTCTGCCCTTTCGCTGTTTCTTCAGTTTAGGGCACCGAAAATACAAGTCCTGCAGGCAAGTCCAGGCGGCTAAAGCCAACCCTCCTAGCACTGCACAGATCAAGGCTGATGCCCTCAACCCCTGAAGCCGAAACTGCAGCTCGAGCTCCGGAAGCCGGAAGCCGTATAGCATGTGGCTGCACCTGCAAACCCTCAAGCCGCGCCTCCACAGGGGTTATTCGGGCCTTGGCCGTGATTTGATGAGAGGAGGCGCCGGTGCCGGCAGCCTCGCTTGCATCGCTGTTGCCAACATTGCTGCTGCTGTCCCCGTCGCGCGGCTGGGAGCTCGCAGGTAGTGTGTTTGCCTTGGGGCTCGATGGTGGCTTCGGGCTAAAGCTCTTTCGGTATCGGGGCGTTTGTGGATTTGCTTTAGGATTAGGAGTCAGGGTCTGCAACTTCTCAGTTTCGGGGCTTCCTTCCGCAAGTCTTGGAAATCCTGGTTCAGTCGCGGCAATCTGTACCATTGCCGATTCTGGCTGTGATATCTGGGACTTTCCGAGAATAAGGGTACCTTATTTTGGGGTCCTTATAATAAGGATCCTACTATTTAGGGTACTATATTAGGGTCCCCTATTTTCGGAAACGCCCATCTGTTCGTACGACAAGCACGCTCTGAATTCCGAGTCCATGATTCAGAGTCCCAGGTTGTCGCATGGCTTCGGTTAGGCACCGGTAGCAAGGGCTCTTGCCTGTTTTCTGAAACCCTAAACCCTAAACCCTGCCCGACCTCAGGTTCTATGCTGCAGCAAGTCAGTGGACGACGTCTTGGTATGTCCAAACGCTTTACTGCGACAGGCACATGGGGGATATGCACTGGCGGCCATGCTATTTTCGATAATGTATTGACTTGCGGCTGAGACTAGGACTGGGACTGGGAAATGGAATCTGTTGCAAGGGGGTGGAGGGGGGGGGCAGATGCAATCATCAGGGATTTCGATTGTAATGCGGGAAGATCGCAACACCGGTCAGCGACTTGCTTCTCAGGTCCGCGTTAGAGTCTAGGGACCAGAACAGGACGGCAAAAGTCGGCTTAGCGATCTGCTGGAACCTTCACCAAATCGCTTGTCCGATCCACTTGCGTCGATAGCCATCTGCTACAGATTCTTCAACGGGCTTCGAGCTCCCAAAAGTTGTGCGAGGTGTGTCTTCGGCATTGTCATCCCTGCCTGCCTGTTGCAAGGTTGGGCACTCAGGTATGGTTTCAGATGTCCAAAATTCCTGCGCGCAGTTGTAGGAAGCATTCTCTAAACTGCAAAAGTCGCAAATTGAAACCCGGCCATGTTTGCTATGCATATTCTCGCAACCGGAGAAAGGCTACATTTACATCGGCTCGGCAGGCGACGTAGATGTGCTAGATATTCCCTAGATGTGTAGATTTCGGGCATGAGTTGGTGTAATCACGGGACGCGTATGGAATGCGACAATTCCGAGTATCCCGTCTTTGGGGCCGGGAGAGCCCAACCGAAGCATCATGGACTCAAAATCCGACAGCTATGAGGTAGGAAACTTTGGCAGGCGCTATATGATCTCTCGAGTTATTCGAGCAGCATCTAATGATATGAGGAGGTGGAGAACACTCCACTCAGAACCGTGAAGTTCCAAAGAACTTACCCTCAAGCTCTCGACCTTAAGACCATCGTACCCGTTCCAGATTTGTAGATCCCGTCGCACAACCACAACCAGGATCCTAAAACTTCCACTTTTCACGAGCTGCTGTTGTAATGTCTGCGAAAGGGACCCGACACACGCACACACACACACACACAGAGACAGACAGACAAAGGATACAGCCCTATGATGATGTACATCCCGGGCATAGTTAAATGCTACAACAGAGCCCAACAAGACCCTATCCTAATTGTGAAGGCAGTTGGAAAGGCCTTTGCCAAAAAACCCAAACCCTGAACCCTAAACCCAAAAACCCTAAACCCCAAACCCCAAAAACCCTAAACGCCAGAAACCCAAAACCCCAAAAACCCAAACCCCAAACCCCAAAAGCCCAAACCCTAAAGCCTAAGCACTACCCAGGCTTCGAACGCCTTAGCTCCCTGGCCGCGCTCACGTGGTTGCGGTCACGGACGACTGTACCCTGGGCCTGGTCAGTCGGTCGTCGGTGCTTTGGGCAGAGCCTAGGCTTGGGGTTTAGGGTTTAGGGGGAGGGTTTTGGGGTTTGGGGTTTTGGGGTTTAGGATTTAGGGTTTAGGGTTTATATAGGTGTTTATAAACGCCTAGAATACTAGAATAGTAACAACACCAAGAATCTTGGTAGTGTGTTCTTTTTCATAGGGTTGGGCGCACTTGGCTGTGTGTGTGTCTGTTGGACTAGTTTGGGATTCATGGGGGGTGAAGCAAACCCTACGTCTCCGCACTTCTGGATGGTGGAACCGCGGGTCAATGGAGCTTAGAGGCTTAGAGACTGTGCGGTTTAGGGGTTTAGGGTTTCGGGTAATATGCTTGCGAGGTCCTGCGGCTGAAACTGCCCAAGCGCCCTCGGACAGCACTACAAAAGCTTCGATTAACAATTTGGCTTTGCCGCCTTTTTCTCGCCTTGCTTCAGTTTCGAGTGAAGTGCATGCACCTACAGCCTACCAGGTTTTGTCGCGGTTCGGATGTAGGGCTTGAGGCAGCGAGCTCTACTGAAGAAGTACCACGGATGCACTGCTGCACCTTAAGACTCCCGATGTTGCGACCGTGGCTTCAGGGCAGGGCCAGGACCTTAGTGTCGGGTCTGCATGGGAGTCTGGGGTGGCTTTCAACCGTCAGTTTGGGGACATAATCCCGAACTTGAAACCCGAAACTACAGTAAAGCCTTCCAAGCCAGCAGCCCTAAACCCTGAACCCTTCGGAGTCAGGCTTGGGTTTGGGATCCGTCTGCGCAGCCCTGGCGATGCTCGCCGCGGCACTTGTCGAGGTGTTTGAGTGCTGAGTCAGTGCTGAGCCTTCCGAATTGCTTCTCTAGGGCTCTTTGGGTTTAGAGTTTAGGGTTAAGGGCTCTTTGGGTTTAGGGTTTAAGGTTTAGGGTTTAGGGGTTTAGGGTTTAGGGTTTACTGACGGTTTCTGGGTGTTTCCCATCGCTTCCACCCGCCTACCGCCAGGGAGATGTAATATAGGGGGAAGGGGAGCAAGAGCATACGGCGAGAGGTGGGAGGACATCGAGGAGGCCTTGGCCTCCATCACAGGCTACCGAGGTCCCAGTGCTTCGTAAGCTGCTATACCTGCGCAACCGTTGTCGTGTGGAGAGTTTTGCAGGCCTCGAGGGCCTAACAAGCACTTGCTAGGCTGCGAGCTCTTTCGAGGCACTTGCTGCACCCACTCTGGCTCCCCTCCCCCCAACATGATACAGCAGGTTTACTCAAACTCCACGAGATCGGCATGAGCGCTGGTAGTTAGCCCTCTTGAGCACAGAGCCTGAAACCTGAAACTCTGTACTGTCCAAGTCCACCTGCTTGTCCTCAGCATTCCTTTCGGACTAAACTCTACCCATAGGCCCCCTAGTAGTTCCTTTTCGGGATTACCTTATAGGATTCCAAATATGACCTCCAAAAAGGAACTACTACGGGACCGATGGGTAAACCCTAAACCTGGCATAGGTGGCTCGGCGCGACTGGGCACCGCGACTTCCTGGTGCGAGATGTTATATGCGGAAGGGGTTAGGGTTCGGTGTGTTTTACGGATGTTTGGCTTTGGGCGTTCGGGGTTCTAGGGTCGTTGGGAGCTTGAGTTTTCCAGCTTCGGCCGCTCCGTATCAGAATTTCATTTCATTTCACGCGCAGGGTAGAATGATGACAAAGCTAGCATTCGGGATCTCATCTTCGATGGCCAGTAGCTTCTCACTTGATGCGACACTCAAGCGGAACCCCCAAACATATCTCTGCATGCCAAAGGCTATCAGATCTACAGATCCGAAGCCCGGGAGCCTCAACCTGAGCCACGAATCCGTCAGGACAACCGGAGGTCTCATCACTAAGTGTCGCCTGGCTGCTCCCGTGACTTGCCAGAAAATTCGGTCCGCGCGAACGCGCGTAGGAGCCCCGAGATGAACGAAGGGTCCAGATGGGTGGTTGTCAAAATCAGGGCCCTTTGTGGGTCCTTATGATAATACGGCCCTAAACCCTAAACCCTATTATTTAGGGTACCCCAAAAGGGACCATAATTTTGACAACCACCCAGCTGGCTGCATGTGAAGCCAAGGCCCCTCTTCCTTTCGGTTTCTGCCTATAGTCTCCATTGTAGTTCCTTTTTGGGGATACCTTATAAACTCGTTAATATATATATATATATATGTATATATATATATATAGAGAGAGAGAGGGAACTACAATGGGGACTATAGGTGGGCCCTGATGCTGTTTCACGGGAAATGTGCGCTCAGGCAGTTCGCCCTTATCGCCGCTGGTGAGGCATTTATCTACCCGGTCGGGCAGCCCAGGATCTGGCGCGTTCGCGTCAAACGACAGCAATCCCTAACCCCTCAGGTACCTACTATATAGGGCCTTAAAAAACTCTAGTACCCTATGTAGTAGGTACCTGGGGGGTTAGGGAATGCTAGTTACTCCATCTATTGCCATGCTCTCTTCGCCAACCTCATGTCACAGGTGGTATCTAAAGCACAAGCTCCTCAGACCCCTTTGGGCGTGAGTGAGAGCTGCAAGTTTCGAACATGCCACAAGCCAATAAGGGTAGCCTGTACCATGACGAGCTCTCAACGTCGAATCTTCTGAGGCATCTGCCGAGTTCCTCTCCTCCTCACCTTTTGCCTACGGCCTGGGTTGCGCAGCACAGGCAGGGCAGGAGGAGACAGAGCACGTAAAGCTAGTCATAGTCATAGTTGCAATGCATTAAAGCTTCAATAGTACATAGTAAACAGCAGCAGTACCAACGGAAAAAAAAGTTATGGTACTAGCAACAGTCGTAGAAATGATAAGAAGCAGGTTCTCTTTGGAAGTAAGTTTACTCCTACTCCCACTCCCCCTACTCCTACTACTACTACTACTACTACTACTACTACTGCTACTGCTACTACTACTACTACTACTACTACTACTGCTACTACTAATACTACTACTACTACTACTACTCCTTCTCCTACTCCTACT